ATTTCCAGACTTCGTTTTTTTTTTTTTTTGGCTCTGAGAAATAGAACTTGAAATGTGAAATTCAGATATCGTGGTGGGTCTGTCGGATAGCCTGTTAGAGGCATCATGAGGAACATGGGGATGAATGTATCCCTATAGCCATTACTTGTTCATCCGCGTGGCTGTGTTCGTGGACACATTTTATTGAAGGAGATGGTACCAACCCATGAATTTGGGTGCACAGCTGTTCTTCATAGTTGTATGTGCTTTTTTTTTTTTTTTTTTTTTTTTTTTTATTACCCAGTTTCGCTTACGGGGTGGGACTACACCCCACGGGGAACCAAGCCCCAGGACTCTCCGTTCTGTCCGAGCCAAGAAACACAGTAAGACCCGGTTCATCTACCTGCTACTAATAGGGAGCAGGGGAGTTCGCACTCCTCAAGTAACTGTGGCACTCCTAAMGGACCTCTCCTACCTCTTTCTACTGCCCTCCTACTGCGGAGAACTACCGAGCGCCCAGGTATGTATGTGCTATTTCACTTCATTGTAAATCAGAAAACGATCCATTCATGCAAATAAAAAATCACTTTGTATTTTCCAAAAAAAACATAAAACTGTGTCACACGATGTAGAATACTTCGCTAGCGGGTCCAGGCCCCAGGCGACCAAAAAAAGACACAGGAAAACAAACAAACAAACAAACAAACAAACAATCAAACAGAAAAGAAAGAAACGGTCATGTGCCTGACTGAACTGCTAGAAAAAGCCAGCCCGAGTTTCAAACTGCTAAACACATTTTCAAATGCAATTGAAACTCGGGCCCTGGCTGAACTGCTAAAAGGAGGCATGAGAAGAGAAGACTCAGAAGAGACCGCAGCCCCAGTTAAGAACAAGCAGCAATCTCAGTGTTACATGATGAAAAAAAAAAAAAAATGTAACCCTGACTGCGCCGTAGTTTTCTCTTTTTTGTTTTTTATTCCTTATTAAAAATGCATGGTACCAATTTTTTTTTTTTTGCCTTTTTCAAAAGACACAAATCATGGCCGTGTATATTTCCATGTTCTAGCGGCAAATTGTTCCAACACGCAGAAGAAAAAAAAAATTGCCCTTCGAGACGAGGTTCGTACAACGCAGTTGTACTTACCTCACCACATAACGCCGCAAAACGCAAGCATAAGCGCACGCAACGTGCAAGCGTCGACGGCCCTGCGGAGAAACTCGACGTGCAAGCGTCAAACCCACAGCTGAAGGCTTGCTCAATCGATGAGCAAGCCTGATTGAGCAAGCCTTTGGTGCCACACTCTTTTATAGTGTGGTGGCACCGGTGGGCAGTCGGCAACAGTGGTAGCCATTTAAGTTATGGGACACACAGTGCATGCCGTGTTCCCTTTTTTTCTTCTTTTTTTTTTTCTTTCAGGTCCTTTTCTTTTTTTTTTTGGCTCTTTTGTTTTCAATTCTGCCTGGTGCGGTTCTTAGGGCCTCGCCACACAGGCTGTCGAAATGTGCAAAACGAGAATGAACTTCCCGCTAGAACATGGCCAGATGCACCTGGCACATTTTTGTCGTTTTCACATTTCGAAAGCCTGTGTGGCGAGGCCCTTAGACTCTGTGCCGCCCACATGCACTGCATCAAGTGACTAGCAAGGCGCTGTATCTGGCGCAACTACCAGTGCTGCGGGGCTGCGGGCGGTGCTGCCGGGCTGCGGGTTGCGAGGCTGCGGGGTGCGGTTCTATAGTGCTGCGGGGCTGCGGGGCAGCTGGGTGCGGTGCTGCGGGGCTGTGGTGCTGCGGGGCTGCGGGTTGCGAGGCTGCGGGGTGCGGTTCTATAGTGCTGCGGGGCTGCGGGGCAGCCGGGTGCGGTGCTGCGGGGCTGTGGTGCTGCGGGG